AAGGAAAGAATTTGGTGATTCAGGTGGAGCTGATGGAAGAAAGGTTAAATAGGAAAAGCAAGGAAGATTATAAAAACAATTCTAGCTCAATGACCAATATGAGTTTGAAAACCCACAGAGCAAAAATGATTTGAAAACAAAGTAAAACAGGAGGGAATATAATTGGACAGCATAGATATACATTGCACTGTTTTTGTTTTTTTTTGCACTGAAGATAACTAAATGAACTTGAACTAATGGACAGGGCTCCCCAGTCTAACTTCTCAACATGCAAAAGACAGCAAATACAACTAGGATAGTCATAGTGGTGCAGGTCATTAGGATGCTTCCAGAATTCTCATTAATTCAGTCTGTAAATGTTGTTAATCATTCAGCATGCTACTGATGACACAGATGTGTGACAGATCTGCACAGCTCTTGTGTGGTTTAAATATCATTTCTGTGGTTGACATGTCTACTGATTCAGTTATATTTCCCTGCACTGAGTAGGGTTTTTTCCCCCCCCTTATTACTTGATAATTCCTCTAATCTTTAGAGAGAACACACTACTTTTCCACATTTACTTATTCCATTCTCTCTTCTTCCAATCTCCCCAGATTGATATACTTTTAAGGTATTACAGTGGACTGGGAATCAGGACTAGGAAATCACCATCAATGATTTTACTTCATAGCCTTAATTTTCTCTTCTATTAGAGGGGACTAACAATATTTGCTCAACCTTACAAGGTTGCTTAAGGCTAAAATGAGTTTATAAATTATGAGTTAAGTCAAGAACATTTTACAAATGGTTGTCTCTTTAAGACAATATTTTTACAGCATACGGGATATAGTCAATAACATTGTCATAATTATGTATGGTGCCAGGTGGGTACTAGGCTTATTGGTGGATCACTGCAAGTTATATAAATGTCTAACCTCTATGCTGTACACCTGAAACTAACATAGCAACTGTAATTAAGAATCAAAAAATTTAAAAAGACACTATAAACTTTCATGTATTAAGAATCACTTGGTATGTTTATTAAAAATGCAGACTTATAGCTTGTTCCGTAGGCTTTGAGTTTGACTCAAAAATGCAATACACAGGCTAATTCAGAAGATCAGGAAGGAGGGCCAAGGAATCCACGATTTTCAAGTAGCATCCCAGGTTATTTGTATGTAGTAGAGAAAAAGAGGTATTACTAACAACTAAGTACAATTAAAGAAGGGGAAGGTAAACCTACATCACTCCTCTTTCTTATTCTTTTGTTTCTTTCACATCCTTTCCTTCTCTGATTCAGCCAACATACGGTCTTTCCTCCCTTTCCTCACTTCATCCTCCTTTGTGTCTGACATTGGCATTTTCTTAGCACAATTAGACAGGCGGTCGGTTTAATGTGCAGAAATGGAGTGGAGGAAAAGGAGGAGGGATGTGGGTGGAGAAAGGCTAGATCAGTGTTTAGCTATTCTGTGAAGACTGTTGTTGTCGGGCTGGTTCTAGCCGGCTGGCTCCGGGAGAGGAAGCAGTGGGGTGAGCTAGATCTACTGCAGCTGCCCATACTGTCTCTTATTAGCTAGTGTAGTATCTGATGTAAGACACCCTCTACCTTTTCTCTAACCACTTTATTTTTTACAGTAATCACATATGAACATTATTTTAGGTACTGATAACAATCCTGGATTCCTTCTTGTTTCCTACTTCTCTTCTTCTCTTTACTACTTCTTCTCTTTACTACTTTTAGTTTTGATCAATTCCCAGCTTGTTTTCTTGTCTTTAAACTCAGGAGAAAAAGATTTGTGCCAGGTGGTGTCTATGGGGTACTTAGAGATTTTTGCTTGACATGCAATCTAGATAATAGGTAAGTTATGCTTTTCTGGGTGATGTAGATATACACCGATGCAGCACAAATAGAATCAGAGACACAGGGTTGGTTGGAACTGGGCAGTTTACTAGGGGAGATTTTGTTTTCATCAAACCTTTGTTTTTCCCTTAGTATGTTCATATTGTCTACCATTAAATTTTAAAAATGCTTCTTGCTGCAAGTCTAGCTATCATAGTCTTACAAGGTGATCTGATTGGTTAAGTAAAATGTCTAGATCACAGTACATTTCAATACAGTCATATATAGTTAATTCTAATAGCTTTTGTCTAAACCTTCATCTTCATTAGAATTCTTTGGAGTGCTTTAAACAATATTGGTGCCTAGATCCCAATTCCAGATATTCTGCTTTAATCAGTTTTAAAAGCTCTCCCTTGACTCTAATGTGTCTAGGCATAAGAGCAAAAATCTGGATGTGTTCTGGTTTAGGCAAAGGATGCACTTCAATTTCATCTCAGATATTACTCACCAGAGGATTGGTCTAACACTCACAGGGACATGCAATAAGTATTTATAACTGTTTGTAAATTTTACCACATACATCTAAACATTGATGTTCGACTAGTTTGGTATCAAGTCTTATATTATAATAGCCAATGCTTATTGAGGGCTTATTATGTAGTGAATTATATATGAGTTACCTCATTAATCCTTATAACTTAATAAAATAATCTCCATTTTGTTGATGAGAACACTGAGGCTTATAGAGGTTAAGCAACAATCCCAAGGTACTAGAAATTAAAGCGGTGATTTCAAATAAGATTCATCTGACTCCAGAGATGCTAGGTTACTTATGCCTTCTCAGGATATTCAACTGATCCCAAAGCCTCCTGAAAATTTTTAATTTACTGGGTAAAAATGAGTGGTGCATGATTAAAACAAAACAAGCTCCTTAAAATACTTTTGAGTACACATTGCTATCCAAAGGCAATGTGTGCCCATACCTGTCTAAACATATGAAAGCACAAAGATTATGATTAAATTTAAGAAACTACCTTTTGAAGCTTGCTTTCCCATTATGGAAATGCTAAAAATAATTTCTGCTTCCTCACTACTTCATACAAAAATATAAAGTATAAATTTGATCATTATTCATGCATTATCTTATATAATCTGTTTAAGCTATATCATTGGCTTTGTTTTTTAAAATATAATTTTTTTTCTGAAAAGCTGTGTTGTTTATAAATTATGAATTTTTTTAGGATATGTCTGGCACATAGTGCCAAAACATTGAACTGAATGATAGCATTTTTTAAAAGGCAAGTGGCCAGTGAGTTAATAGTTTAACATTTTCTATCCACAGTTTCACCAGTATAACCTGCTTTTTCTGATGCATGGTTACCATGAATTGGGATCCAATTCATGTGAGTGGAATTGAAGGATAGATTAGGAGGTATTATCGATCCTCTGCTGGCTGGGGCCATATAACCTCTCCCTGTGTCAATTGCCTTATGTATCTTTTGTCAGATTATAGTAGAGTTAGTATCTTTGTGAGCAAGCTTCCCTTGATCATAAAATGCTTTTCTTTTGGTCTTTAGTCTGGATATATTGTACTTTATGTTCCAGGAGACTGAACATCAGAGTGTAAGTAAATAGCAACATTTTAGTTCTATATACTTTCCCCCCTTTCCTCTGAAGATAGTATATCCTATACTACCTTTATTTGTTCCTCTAAATGTGTCCTTTGTGAAAATAATTCATTATTTTAGGTTGCTCATAGTGGAATAACGTAACAGCAGTGAACACATAATAGTACTTACTTTGTGCCAGGTGTGAAATCTTATATACTCTAACTCATTCACCCCTTATAACTACTCAATGAAGTAGGTAATCATTTTTATAGTTTTTATAAAATATTTTTATAGTTAACTTTTATGGTTGAGCAGATAAAGATACAGAGAAGTTACTTCAGAAGGTCACATAGGTTAAGTGAAACTTGACATCTGATCCAGTCCAGAAGTTTTGCTTTAGGTTCCCGGAAGGAAATCAGTAGCAAAAGCAGACCCAAAAGACTACGAAAGGAGCGCTGAGAATTCATTGGCTGAGGTGACTGAGAAGGGAGATGTGGCCTGCAAGAGGGCAAACTGGTTAGGGAATTATTTTATCTCATATCCAGGATCTCTGGCGGTAACAAATGACAGGTTATTTGGAAATGAATCTTCCATATGAAGTAGTACGGTCCCCCGTTGCCTTTGGTTTTATTCTTTATGATCTAGAAAAATTTAACAGAGTAGTAACGTATTTGAACATACTCATATTCTTTGCCTCCTTTTGTTTTTATGTAGAGAATTTACAAAATGCTCTTAAATATATAATTTCATTTTATTCTCACAGCAACCTTGGAATATACTCATATCTTGTCCAGGCTCTGAGGAAGTTAACTGATTTGCCCAAGGCTTCTACTGGTTTTTAAGCTGGCTGTACCACACTACCCTGCCTTTATCTTTAAAACGTGTATCGTGAAAGCTCCAAGGATATATAATATAGTTTAGAAATTTGCCTCACAATATACCAAGGCATTGTTTTTACTCCGTACAAGCAAAAGGACCGTAGGGATATTAATGATCTTTGTCACCAACCAAATCGTTGTTGCCTCCCGGATTCCAAGCGGAGGCCGTCAGAAAGGCGCGCGGGAGGCAGAAGCGTGGACACTGCGTCCAAGAGGCTTGGTGAGCCCGTTCAGAGTGCGGATGAATGCGGTCGAAAAGGGAATGTGAAAGCCCGGAGGGTGTACAACGGACAGGATTAATCTCGCGGTTTCGAGTCGGGAGCAAACCTCGCTCCCCAAGCCGTTTTCCCTTCCTTAGTGAGGACGGTTTGGAGGCGGGTGGGGAGAGCGCGTCCTCGACACGCTCTCGCGCTCCCGTTTCCCTCGCAGCGCGCGCGCTCCATCGTCACTCCGCCGCCCGAGAGGCCTGCAATGGCCGCCGGGGGGGGACCGGGGGCCTGGAGGGCAAGTCTCAGCACAGGTGTTAGACCCGCCGGCCGGATTCAGCCTGCTGGTCCAGCCCCTCGCCCTGCCGGCCACCGCCCCCTGCCTGTCGCCGCGCCGCCGCGCCGCCGCGCCGCCGCGCCGGGAGGGCGGAGCCGGGGAGCGCGCGCGGGGTCTGCACGCGGCTCTTCGGTCTAGGGCAGCGCAGGGCAGCCGCCGCCGGCGTCGTGCGAGCTGTGTAAGAGGGGTCGCGCGCGCGCGCGCGCGCGCACGCCAGGCGAGCGAGGGAGCGAGGAGTGGCTGGGTGTGAGGGTGTGAGTGTGTGAGTGTGTGTGTGGGAACGAGTGTGTGTGGGAACGAGTGTGTGTGGGAGTTGGGGTGAGGGCGACCCAGAGCGACCGCGACGCAGTGAGAAAGTGGGCGAGGGTGTGAGGGCCCCGGCCTGGCTCCGGGAGTTGCGGTGGCGGAGAAAAGAGGCGGCTCCCGGCATCCCGACCCCATCCCCCTTCTCCTCGGACCTTCAGCCCGCCCAGCAGCCCGCGCTTCCCTCGGAGGCCCCAACCCGGCTCCCTTGCCGAGATCGAGGGAGTAACCGTCCGAGCCAGGTGAGCGGTCCCAGCGCTTCCCTCCGCTGGTGCCGGGGATGAGGCGGAGGCGCGCCCCCCCCTCGGCCCCCCGCCCCGCGTCCTTTCCTCTGTGGGCAAGTTCTGCCGAATGGATTCGGTGACGAGCGAGGGGCGGGGGGCTCAGCGCGGGGAGGGAGCAGAGCTGTGCGCGCCCTCCCGGGGCTGGGGGCTGGTGAAGGCCGGGGGTCGCTTCAGAGTCTGGGGTGGTGGGGAGCGAGGCAGAACCTGGGCTTGGGTGTGCTGGGAGGGGGTCCGTGAGGCTGTGTGCGTGTGACTGGGAGGACAGCGTTGGAGGACAGCGACCTCGGGCGTGAAGTATGGTTTCCCTGTCGTGAGGGGGTGTGGTAACCCTGGGAATGCGCTGTGCTAACCTGTCCCCCAGTGTGGTATTCTCTGCTGCCCCTACTTCCATCAGACAAATTCCTGTGGTGTGACCGAAGGAGGAGGATGTGGTGTTCCTCCTGCAGTCCTGATGTTTTTAATTCCATGTTTTCTTCGTTACGTGTAAATTTTAGAGAGTGTGACTGTCATTCCTCTTTTTCTTTGATGGCCCTCTGAATAAGAATGGGGTCACGAAATAAGTGTTTGTTTTAGCTGATTTTCTTTTTTAAGCATTTGACCATCATGCGATCCTTATCTCCCCATGCTCCCCTTTAAAAAAATCCAAACTAGTTAGGGGATCATTTCAGATTTACATTCCTATGCCTGACAGCAGATTTGTAATCCAAGTATGTTATCCCATTTGTGTTTATGAATAGGAATGGGGCATTAATCATATTCTGTGAGTGGGGTTATTATATTAACCATGTTGAAAGTAACTTCGATGTAAATTCATTCAGTGTGCTGTTATTTTCCCATTCATTACGAAATTGTTTCCATATCTTTGTGGAGTTGGGTTAAACTCTAAATCTGTATGAAAAGTATATGGGCATCTTAGTATGGAAGACATTCCTTTTTTTGTGGGCGTGACATGAGGGTTATATTTATGGGTATTTGTTTTAATGGATGTAATCATTAAAATTTAAATGTTATTTAATCTCATTTTAATTCTTTCACAACATTGAGTAGTTGAAAGGTCATTTTTTTCTTTTCTTTCTTTTTTTTTTTTAAAGAACAGTTCATTGTCAAAATAAAGATATGCTAAGATATTTACTTGGAATAAAACACTCTCTGAAATTCCAGCCATGGAGATTTAAGATTTATTTCCTAACTTGCAGAATGAAAACCTCTAATTAAAAAAATGAACAGTCATGGTTACTGTGTGTTACTTGGTTAGTGTATCAAAGGGGAGGAAGCCTATTTTGTGTTGAGATAATCTTTTGTTTATTGCTTCCTATCTTGGTTAGTCCTCTTAATTTTCTTTTTTCATGTAATAGATTTAGTTGTTAGTTTGGCAACATGGCTGTTGATGTTTTTATCTTTTTCTGTCTCCCTTTTTTTCTCTCTTGTTTTCTCTTACCCCCACCAGGTGCTGGAGTCTGCTTGTCAGGGAGGGGGGCAGTCTGTGATTCTGAGAACAGAGAGCCAAGAAGGGGAACAGCAAATTCAGTCACATACCATCCTCCACTCAGTCAAGAGCCACTTTTTTCTTCCCGCCTTTCCCCCTGCAGGGGGTAAGGAGCTGCATCTCTATCTAACTTGTAGACTTGACGACCAGCTAAAATTCCACTTATCATAGTTTCTATGGGGATAGCTTTAAAAAATTTTCTCATGTTTCATAGAGTCCCGATTGATAGCATCTAGGGGTGTAGGGGAGAGTGAAATCTGGACTATCCTTTTTTTCCTTTTCCCTTCTCATTCAGTTCCTTTTTCCTCTCCAGAGGGAAATTATCAGCAACATCTTACGGTAAATCCTCTTATCCCTTCTCAGCAAAATTGTGAAGAAACACACTAAAGTGGACATTCTTTTTTCCTCTGACCAATGAACACCAACCAAGCTTCAGGCATTAGTTTGTTGGGGCACAGGATGAATCAAATCGTTTAAAATACCTCCCAATTCTTCCTTTGCCCAATTTGTATCCACCTGGGATTTGCTACTGGGGTAAGTCACTAGACTGATTTTTCAAAACTTCTCCCCTCCCTGTGAGCTGAAAGACTGAGCATCATGAACCCTGGAAGGGATTGGGGAAGGGGACCCACCAGAGTGAGTTGTTCCACACTTTGGGAAGTAGCTTTTATTATCTTCCCTTGGGGAGCAGGTATTAGAGACCTAAACTGAGTGAAAATGGGTGGAGGAAGAACTTCTATACCCACGAACAACATGTGAAGAGTGAGAGAAAACCAAACATAAAGTAAGGAGGGTGAGTTTTATTGTATGTTGCTTGCTGGCAAATGTTTTGCGGGGGGTACTTCAGTGGTAAGGATTTGTGGAGAACTTACAGCAGGTTAGTTTAAAAAGTATTCTCTGCAAGTGGGATGAAGTTATAAGCATATGGGAAAAGGGCCTTTAGAAACTGTGATACTGACTTTAAAATTTGAGGTAGTAGACTGTGATAGGAACAATGAAAGAAGTATTTTTAAATGTTAACTTTACTGACATGTGCAGTTGTTTTAAGAGGTTGAATAGGGGAGATTAGGTACAGATGTTGGGGAAATTGTCTTTCATTACTTAGGAACTGTCCTGCTTGTCATATTAAGGGTTGTTAAATAATATAGTACCTCCAAAAATATCTGTACATAATGTATTTTAGATTCATGTGCCATATGTATCTGTGTACATGTTAAGTTTGCAAAAAAGGATTGGCTTTGGCTTCATAGTAACTAATGCCATGGTGTTATTTTCAGTGTTTTCTTTTCCTTTTAAAATTGGCTTGGAGGACAAAAGCCACAGAGCTCTCCAGCTTTACTCCCTTAGATTCTGGATCTGCATGGAACCCATCTGCTTATATCATTTTTTCCTCCTCTTACTGAAACTGGTCTCCTCCCTCCCCAACTTTAATTGTTAACAAAGCCAATTATTTCAGAATCAGTCGTATAATAATGATGGAAAGTAGCATTAGGCTTGGGTTGTTTTGTTTTGAGAAATACCAATTTTTGACAGCTATGTTTAGATGGTATGGGGTATACACTTTGCCTGGTATTTAATATTGTAAACACCTATGGTTTTTTGATACCCTTTATGATTCAGTATAGCAAACTCCTTTCAAGTAACTCCTGACCTTTTACTTTTGCCTATCATATGAGATTCTCTGCTGCCCACTGGGGATAACAGCAGAGAATAAAACAGGGATTCTTTCTTTATGGAGCTTACAGTCCAGTTTCATTGATCTCTGTCATTCAGTTCCTCCAGCAATGTCTGGAGGAGCCTACTGCATTCTTATATAAAATGTGTACCAATTTGTGAATTGATGACTTAGCAAAACAAATTTGTATAAACATTGATAAGCCCCATTCATTTTTACTACCTTTCTTTCGAAAGTGGCAGCACATTACCAAGTTGTGACAAAAAAAAAAAAAACTCAAACCTACACCTTACTTAAATGGTTTAATCTATTCAGTCCCTTATGTATTCCATTCTTCTCCTTCTTTTCCCTTCCGATATTAGTTCTTGACTTCATGTTCTTCGTAATAAGGTCTCCAAAATAGAATGTGAATTTGCTATATAAGATGAAACCAGTTCTGTCAGTGTTCTGCTGTTCCATGCTTGATAGCATTTTAAACTTCGATACAATACATCTTGAAAACTACATCTTGAAAATTCATGCACGTTTGCCCAACTAATGATTTTGGAATTTCCTGATGCTTTGGAGTAATGTTAAGCATATTTATAAAACCTTCAGTTTGAGTACATTAATAGCTTTCAACTCATTTTTGAAAGTAATGTCCGAATGATCAAAGAAAATTTGGCCCAACATCTAACATGTCAAATGTAATGAACTTGGAGCTATACTGTGCATTGTGTCTCAGGGACAATTTTCAAATCTCATGCTATGTTCCAGAGATATTTTGATATAACATTCCTTTGTTAAGTGAAATCATTAGAAAGTTTATTTGCATTCCAGAGAAAACTATTTTTTTAAATTTGATAGGTTTTATATACCACAGACTTATCTTGGGAATTTTAGTAACTAAGCTACAGGTAATTTAAGCAACATTTTCCTCTATAGTTGAAAATGTGTAAAAATTTGCTTGTTAATTTGCTTATGACATTTTTATTCCCTTTTCCAATTTTTCCTATATTATGGTAAAATACACATAAGATAAAATTTACCATCTTAATCATTTTTAAGTACACAGGTTAGTGGTTAAGTACATTTGTATTGTGTAACCATAACCAGCTCTATCTCTGGAACTCTTTCATCTTGCAAAACTGAAACTCCATACCCAAAAAACATAACTTCCCATTCCCTCAATCCCCCAGCCCCTGGCAACCATCATTCTACTTTTTGTTTCTGAACTTGACTACTTTAGATACCAGAGCATAATGTCCTCAGGGTTCATCATGTTGTAGCATGTATCAGAATTTAATTTCTTTTTAAGGCATATTATGTGCATACTTCATTTAGCTTATTTATTTGTCTGACGATGGACACTTGGGCTGATTCCCACTTTTAGCTGTTGTGAATAATGCTGCTATGAACATGTGTGTACACATACCTCTTTGAGACTCTGTCTTCAGTTCTTTTGGGTATATATCTAAAACTGGTCTTGTTGGATCATACGGTAATTCCATTTTTAATATTTTGAGAAACAGCAATACTGTTCTCTGTAGCAGCTGCACCATTTTATTACATCCCCACCAACAGTTTGCAAGGCTTCCAGTTTCTCCACACCCTTCCCAACACTTATTTTCTGTTTTTTGTTTCTGTTTTTGTTTTTTTGGTAATATCCATCCTACTCTTGTGAAGTAGTTTCATGGTTTTGATTTGCGTTTTCCTCATGTTTAGTGACATTGAGCATCTTTTCTTACTCATGACATTTTTAAAATTTTTTTATTTTTAATTTCTTCTAATTTTTTTATTTTTAATTTCTTCTAATTTTTTTATTTTTAAGTCATGTTTATTCTATTACAGTTGTCTTAGTTTTTCCCCTTTTGCCCTCCCCACCCATCCCCTCACAGTCAATTCCCACTCTGTTGTCCATGATGTTCATGGGTCATTCATACATGTTCTTTGTTTAGTCCCTTCTCCTTTTTTCCACCAACATCCTCCTTACCCTTCCCGTCTGGTCACTTTCTATCTGATCCATGTTTCCATGCCACTGGTTTCTTTTGTTTGTTAGTTCGTTTTGTTGAATAGATTCCACTTATAGGTGAGATCATATGGTATTTGTCTTTCACAGACTGGTTATTTCACTTAACATAATATTCTCTAGTTCCAACCATGTTGTTACAAAAGTTAGGAGTTCGTTCTTTCTTCTTCTTTTATTTTTTAATGCAGATTGATTTTATATATTTATTTTTTTAATGTCAAGATCCATTATAAAATATTAATTTAAATCTGTTATAAAGTCTCAGCAATTAAAACAACATGACACCAGCACAGAAATAATCAGGTAGATCAGTGAACTAAAATGAGCATTGTAGAAACAAATGTATATATCTAACAATGTAATGTATGATTAAATTGATATTTCAAATCAATGGGGAAAATAAGGCTTATTCAACACAAAAGATGCATGGACCACTATTACTTGAAATAAAACAAATACAGAGCCCCATTTCACACATTATACAAAAAATATTCAGGTAAGTTAAAAATCAGTATGTAAAACCTAAGGAGTTTTAGGAGGAAATATAAAATGATATTTTCCTTACCCTGAAGTAACATATTCAAACTCTGAAGCTATATAGATATTGACAGTATGGCCATATTAAACATTTAAGGCTATACATTAATATACCTATAAAAGTTAAAGGACAAATAATAGAATAGGAAAGTATTTGCAACACATCTAAAAAAGGCTTAATAGGTTTTTTGGGGGGGGTTGTTTTGTTTTTTGGTTTAGGGAAAAAAATTCTTCAAACCTTTAATCAAAAAATGGATAAAGAATACCAAAAAGTCATTTAAAGCTTTTAAAAAACAATAGAAATAGGCAAGAAATCTATAAAAACAGGTCTAGTTTCAACAAATGATAAAGTAACAAAATAACACATCATTGTCACAATCAGATTAATAAGTATTAAAAATATTGGTAATATCAAGTATTGGTGACTGTGAAAGGAACTGGGTATTCATAGACACTTCCTTCATCTTCTTAAAGCAGTCCCTTTAGTATATTTTGCAATGCTGGTTTGGGGGAAGTGTATTCTTTTAGCCTTCTTTTGTCTGGGAAACTCCTTATTTTGCCTTCCATTTTAATTGAGAGCTTTTCTGGGAGAGCAGTCTTGGTTGAGTCCTTTGCTTTTCATTACTTGAAATATTTGTTGCCATTCTCTTCTGGCTTGTAGTGTTTCTGTTGAAAAGTCAGCTGCTAGCCCTATGGGGGCTCCCTTATACGTTACTATCTCTTTCTCCCTTGCTTCCTTTAGGATTCTCTGTTTGTCTTTGATATTTGCCATTTTAATGATGATGTGTCTTGGAGTGGGCCTCATTGGGTTCCTCTTGAATGGGACCCTCTGTGCTTCCTGGACTTGTGTGACTTTTTCCCTTCAATTAGGGAAGTTTTCCATCATGACTTTTTCAAAAAGGTTCTCTCCCTTCTTCCTCTTCTTCTCCTTCTGGTATCCCCTTATATGGCTATTACTATGTTTCAGGTTGTCCTGCATTTCCTTAAACACCTCTTCATTCTTTCTGAGTCTTTTTTCATTTTCTTGCTCTTTCTGGGAGCTTTTTTCTACCTTATCATCCAGCTCACTGATTTGATCCTCTGCTTCATATAGCCTGCTTTTGATTCCTTCTGCTGTGTTCTTCAATTCAGAAATTGTATTCTTCATTTCCTCTTGTCTCTTGTTGATAGTTTCTATGTCCTTTTTCATGCTGATATAGTTTGCAGTAATTTCCTTGTGGTTTCCCTGAAGTTTTTGGTAATTATTTATGAGCTCACTGAGCTCATTGAGCTTCCTTAGAACCATTGTTCTGAACTCAATATCTGATAGTTTACTTGCCTTTATTTCATTTAGTTCTCTTTCTGGGGAGTCCTCCTTTCCCTTCAACTGGAGGGTGTTTCTTTGTCTTCCCATTATTTGTGAGACTCTTTTTTGCTTCTGCTTTTTCAATTGATCTTTCTTGATTTCCTGACTTTGTGGTGTGAACTTCTGTTGGAGGAGACTGCTGTTTTTTCTTTCTGGATCTGCCTCTGATGATGTCAGATGTTGACCCTGTCTGACCTTAGGCAGTCTGTTCTTATTCATGACATTTTA